GATATAGTTCCTTTATCCCATTTGTAAACCAGCCTGGCAACAGAGGAAATTTATCTATCTATCATAGCAGGGGTGCATCTCTTTCAATTTGATAACACAATTCCATGATAGATTTATACACACACACTATGTGTGTGTGTGTGTGTGTGTGTGTGTGTGTTTATGTATATATTTACCATGGAATTGTGTTAGCAATTCATAGTATGTTCACCCTTTTTTGCATTCATGTTCCCAGGTTGGTTTGCCAAAGGGATAAAAGAACTAAAATGTTAATAGAAAAAGTTGTCAGATGCAATTCCTTTATCCCATTTGTAAACCATCTTGGCTACAAAGTAAATGTATTTGTCTGTCTCCTTCAGTTTGCTTACACAATTCTATGGTAGATTTACATGCATGCACACACATAGAATAGATGTGTAGATTTGCCATGGAATTGTGTTAGCAATTTATAGTATATTCACCCCATCCTGCATTTCATGATTCTAGGATAGTTTGCCAAAGGGATAAAAGAATGAAAATGTTAAAAGAAAAAGTTACCAGATGTAGTTCCTTTATCCCATGTGTAAACCATCCTAGGAAGGGAGGAAATGGATGGATATATACAGTATGTTATATGTGTGTGTGTATATATAAATTTACCAAGAAATTGTGTTAGCAAAGCAATGGAAGTTAACTATTTTATACACACTATTTCTATTAACATTTTCATTCTTTTATACCTTCGGTGAACCATGCTGGGAACATGAATGCAGGACAGGATAAACATACTATAAATTGCTAATACAATTCTATGCTAAATGTATACATATATTGTATGTATGTGTGTATAAATTTACCATGGAATTTTATTAGCTATGGAAGAAGATGGACTCCTGCTCTCTCTCTCTCTATATATATATAATGCACACACACACACACACACACTATTACCAGGATGGCTTACAAATGGGATAAAGGAACTATATCTGGTAACTTTTTCTCTTAACATTTTAGTTCTTTTATCCCTTTGGTAAGCCATCCTGGGGACATGAATGCAGGATGGGGTGAACATACTACAGATTGGTAACACAACTCCATGGTAAATTTACACATATATTGTATGTGCATGTGCATGTGTGTGTGTGTGTGTTTGTATAAATTTACCATGGAATTGTGTTACCAGATCAAAGATGATGGACTCCTGCTTGGTGGCTTGGTTCAGGGTCACCTAGTAAACTCCATTGCCAAGAGCAAGATTTGAACCCTGGTCTCCTTGTTCCTAGACCAGCGTGATCCACTGCATCCTATTGATTTTCTCTCCTCTTCCCTCCTTGCATCTAAGCAAATCTATCTTTATCTGGAGTGGCATTTTGAATCTGCTTCAGGAGGGTAGATATGTGGCATACTAAACAATACCCAGAAAAAGTATCTATTTGTGGTACTTTTTAAAAAAAGAAACAAAGGTAGGTCATAGCATCAGGCTTAATGTGTGTGGCATGGTGTCATGGTTTTGATTAACCTGGAACGAAGGAGTATGCCGCACTGCCTCTCCCAAAGAACAGGTTCCTCATTTTACTTTTCATGTAGATTTGGGACTACGGTAGTCCTTGTTTAGGTGGCTGAGGTTATTAGCAGTGTGACTGAATCCACACTACAGCAATAATCTGGTTTGACACTACTTTAACTATCATGGCTCAATGCTATGGAATTCTGGGAAGTGTAGTTTCCTACGGCACCTCTGGGCTTCTGAACTATAAAGGACAGTGTTCAGTGTGATCTGCTTCAGAGCTGTGAGTCTTGCTCTGAATCTTCTCAGATTCTTCTCAGACTCCAACTATGGATTTGGTCTCATTTTTGCTTGGTGGGTTGGTTCTTTCCTGTCCCTCTTGTCAACTGATGTTTCTGGGCAAGGAGCTGAGAAAACAAGTCAAGAATGAGTTGCGGCTCCTGGTTTGGATAGTAGGTCAAGCCATGATTTAAGTCAGCATTTATAAGCCAGCTAAGATTGTGATTTGTGGCTAGTTGAATAGTAAAAGTTGGAAGTAAATTGCATAAACAACGATTCTAACTGCTTGGATAATAACGTAGTTGACGTAGTTGGTTTTTACAATTCACTTAATGGCTGAAAAAATATAACTTGATGACTGTCAATCTTTTAGCATAAGGTGTAGGATTTTCTTCTAAACCTTGCTGAAGGAGGTTTATTTTGGGAGCATTTTTGGTTGTTTTTGTATTTTTAGAAATATATTTTTAAAGTATATAAAAGTGTCTAAAAGCCAATATAGAATCATAGAGTTGGAAGAGATCCCCCAAGGGCCATCCAGTCCAACCCCCTTCTGCCATGCAGGAACTCTCAATCAAAAGCATCCCTGACAGATGGCCATTCAGACTCTGTTTGAAGACATCCAAAGAAGAAGACTCCACTACTCTCTGAAGGAATGTGTTCCACTGTCGAACATGCTATTAATGAGCCATGCAGCAAGTTACTCTTTTAGTAGTGAGTAATGTTAATATGCTCCTTTCTTAAAGCAAGAAGTAATGAATCAACTTTTTAAAAAATATATATATTCCAAGCTCTGGAACCATGGCTTGTTAACCTTTCACAAAAGACTGGGTTAAGACAAAGCTACATCAGGGATTGCCTTGACATGCTAGTATGGTCCCATGTATGGGCTTACATCAGTTTAGCTGTCATGATAGGATTCCTCCAGAGAATCCTGGGAATTTTAGTTTGGTGGGAGTGTAGAAAATGATCAGGTTGGGAACACCTCACACTAGGGTTACTCAAGCAGGGTTCCATTAAATCTTAGGGTTCCATGAAAGATCACAAGAGATTGTGTAATTAGAAAAAAAAATTCCCAGCTGTAGATATAATAACCTTTTTAAAGATCTTGGGCCCGGCTATCTCTATAAAAAGCTGAGAGCGCTCTTTCAGGGCTTATTATTGTGTGAAATAATGAAAGAAAAGGCAGGCTGTTGTTATGCAGGGGGTCTCTGACACCTAAAAATTATTTCAAGGGTTCCTTCAGTGTAAAAGGGTTGAGAAAGGCTGCTTCACACTTTGCCCTGTTAGAATTCAAATACCAGCGTTCATCAGGAATAGAGGATGATAGTTAAAATATGTGATAGAGCTATATGTGTTACTTTGAGTTCTTTCATTCCATCTGGCTTTTAAAATGAAGTTTAATATCATACTCATAAGCTTTTTGTTCTTTTTCAGAGTTGCACCTGCCTGCCTTTTCTTTCATTATTTCACACAATAATAAGCCCTGAAAGAGCGCTCTCAGCTTTTTATAGAGATGGCCGGACCCAAGATCTTTAATAAAGGTTTTTTTTCTTCTGAGTGTAGCTCAGGGACTAGAATTAATAAATAGGTGACAACAAAGAAAGGAGTGGACATGAATGCAATCTCAGCAACAATTGTCTTCTTCTAGCTTCAGCTATTAAAATGTTTGCTTTTTTGTCAGCGCAGTCTTGTGTTTTCCTCTTATTGGGGTAGGAGATCTATATAGTTTTCTATTTTTCTCTATTAGCTCCCTCCCATCCATATATTAATGTGTGTGGTTCTGACCTCAAAGGTAACAGAACCACAGAATTATAGAGTTGGAAGAGACCTCAAGGGCCATCCAGTCCAACCCCCTTGCCATGCAGGAAATCACAATCAAAGCACCTGTAAGATGGCCATCCAGCCTCTGTTTAAAGACCTCCCAAAGAAGGAGACTCCGCAGCTCTTATTATCAGGAGGTTCCTCCTAATGTTTAGGTGGAATTTCTTTTCCTGTAGCTTGCACACAGAGCCGACCCTGCCATTAGAGATACAGGTAACAAAAAGGTAACACAGAGAGCCGGCACAGTGGATGGCTATCTTAGGAAATACTGGAGGCTAGAGATGTGCCGTGGCTTGGGTCTGCCGTGGGCCACTAAAGCTAATTTCCTGCTTGGTGTGTCGGAAGATGTCGTTCTTTCACCAGTGCTAATTTAAGTTTCAGCACTCAGTCCGTATATTGAAACTTTAGTACATGTAGCAAGAGAAGGAAGCAGTGGCATCATTAGGGAGTGCAGGGGGTGCGGACCGCAACAGGTGAAATCTCTGCTCCTCAGACATCTGCATTTTGGCAGAAATGGGCTGTGGCATTCACTTGTATCTCTTTAAAATGCTGAAAAGATGGCGTGAGTGGGGTGAGGCTCAGTGGGAGGAGAAAGGAGAGACCTCAGGGTTTTTTTTTTAAATAAAATTTCAATTTTCAATTTTAAAATTTTAATTTTTAAAAAAAATTTAAAATATTTCAAATTTCATTTTAAAACATCACATTTTACCAAGTTTTCACTTTAACCACATGCAACTATGTGTGTGTAAACACATTTATTCTCTGTGTATGATATCGTAATTTAAAGGTATACGTTTAATTTTGCTAGTTGTTTATGTCACAACCGTTACCATTCCATTGAGTAACAGTAGTACAAAAAACATTCCTAAGGGTTCTGTATGGTGTGTTATGGGAGGAGATCAAGGGGTGTGTGTGACTTCAGACAGCAAAATTTCTCAGGCCAATCCTGATAATATCCAGAGCAAACTCTTCATGCATCTCCTTTCTGGACAGAGTGCTTTGTTTTACTTCTTAATTTGACCATATTTAAATTGTTCTCAATCCTCATGGATAGCAGGCATCACACAAATATAATTAAAACAATAAAAGCATCTGGAAATATCATCATCATCATCATCATCATCATCATCAAAAAGAAGACCCAGATGCAATAAAACAGACAGGATCAGCCAGTTAAGATATCTTAGTGAGTGATTTTGAATGATTTTGAATGATTTTGAGCTGGCGCTGAAACAACTGTGATGTTGGTAGTTAGTACTAGAGAGAGAATTGTATTGAGAACACTACAAATGAAAAGGTTTTCTCCTTTGTTGATAGATAACATACCTGAAATACTTGGGGGGAAACCATCCTCAAAGATCTTAAGTTACAAGCAACGTCCTTCAGATATTTATAATGATGTGCAGATAAAAGAGCCAGTGTGGTATAGTGGTTTAAGTGGACTTGGGCTCCAGGAGATCAGGGTTCAAATCACTACTCAGCCATCACTGGGTGACCTTGGACAAGCTACACTCTCTCATCCTCAGAGGAAGGCAGTGGCAAACCTCCTCTGAAGAAATTTTGCTGAGAAAATCCTCTGATAGGGTTGCCTTAGGGGCGCAGTAAATCAGATATGACTCAACAAGAATCAAACTAGATATGAGGGGGTATTGTAAAGTAATAATTATCACCTAAAAGTTATTATGGTATATTGATGAAATTTTGTGAGTGTCATCATTGGTCCGTAAGTGCATGATGTTGAGAAAATCAGCTCTTTATGTCCTTCATGTTTGTTAAAGGTTGTACCAGAAGTGACTAAAGTGTAAGATGGAGAAGATTGAGGCTTGCAGCATGATAAAGTTCCTGCATTTGAAGGGTAATAGTGCCTGGCAAACTCATGATGAGATTATGGTAATTTATGGAAATTATTGCCCATTTTATGACACTATTGTGAGGTGGAAAAGGAATTTCCAAACTGGTCACATGTCCCTCACAGATGAGCCAAGAGCTGGAAGACCATCATTGATGGACAATGCGGCCACAGTGAAGAAAGTGGAGTGTTTAATCCTGGAAGACAGATGAGCAACCATCCAAATGATCATGAATAAAACTGGTCTCAGCTATGGTAGTGTATGGAAAATTATTCATGATGAACTGCACATGTGTAAGGTGTCTCCACGTTTGCTAACCCCTTTCCAGAAACAAACACGATGTGACTTTTCAAGACATTTGTTGATGCTGTTGGAACAGGATGAAAAGGATTTTTTTGGTTGTCTGGTAACTATGGATGAATCTTAGATCTATCAGTATGATCCAGAGGACAAAACCATGAGCATGGAGTGGAAGCATGCCAATTCCCCTCCCCCCCAAAAAGGCAAAGATGAAAAAGCCAGCAAGGAAGGTCATGCTCTCAGTTTTTTGGGATTGTCATGGAGTCATTCTCACAGATTAAC